GATTCACTCGCCTTTTCTTACTTTCCCAAGAAATCAGGAAACTACATTCTACTCTTGCCACATGGCTGTAGACTGTTCCTTTAAAATAAGGCTAACGGCGTAGAAACAGAGATCAGCTCTGCACCATCAATTTCATGAAAAGAAGATTGCCAAAATAGACCAATCATGAAAATGAAGGAAGACCGACATTTCAACGATGACAAACTTTCTTTTACATTTTATGCTCGCAGTGCTTACTGATACCCTGCCATCTGTGATAATAGTCGCCATGGAACATGGAACGCGCCCCTAAGGGGTACTCAGCTATCGAAAATGAGTGACTGACAGTGGTGCAGAGTAAGCATGTTGGCAGATTTCTGTGCTGAATTAAAACAACATAAACGGAACTGAAAGACAGTTGCTGCTGTTTAACACTTGCGCATCTCAGTTCATAGGCAGCTAGTAAAGACTACATGATGCAGAGTACACAAAGTGATGCCACGTGACACTGATCAAAAATGCGATTGACAGTACACATTGGCAGGTACGGAAAATCCCGAGTATTAACAGGTAGCAGGACCTCAGTCACAACTTTCATCTTTTATCAGTTGTGTTGCATCAAGTATCGGGGTAGGCAACGGAAAAAGTTGCACGAATAAGTCGTTACAGTGGTGACAATAACAACGAATAAGATAACAATAGCTCGATTTTGGTCTTCGAAGTAAAAGATTTAAAGAAAGAAGGAAAAGTCTACAACCATGAGAGTGTCGGTTTTGCTTACGTATTCGTGATGCAGCTGTTCTGACGCCTTTTTAATTAAACGGATGGTGCGATGTTGATCTTCGTTTCTATGCCATCAGCCAGAAGTGCCTTATTTTAAAGGCAGAGTCTACAGCCATGTGGCAAGCGTCAATCGTAGTTTCTTATTTCCTTCCTATAAAGTGGTACTCATTTATGAATCTCTGAAGAGAGAAGAGTGAGTGGCTCTGACTGAAGCTTGAACTCTCTCGGTTTTGACTTCGATTCTTCCGACGCAACTCCGGTATCTAGCAACGTTTGGTAAATTTCTTGTTCAGGCAGATTCATGAAAAATACACAGATTGCCTTCGAATGGTGTTAAACCTGACACCGGAGTTCGAATCAGACCTCTGAGGAACTGTGCTACTACGCTCTTTACACTTTGCATGGTGCCTTGGTTCTCCGGTAAAGTGAATGATGTCAGTTTCTTCCTTCGGCTCGATATAAGGGTTTACTAGGCAAATGAAATTTTCAGTTTTCGATATTCATCTATAAACAGCACGAATCGTGCTGCCAAGGCCAGCTAAAAGGCAAAATGTTATTAACAATCGAAGCTGAAAGTCAACTGATATATCGCCCAGTCGATTTTTTTTGCGAGTTGGAGGGGTTGGATTTAAACTAACGTTCGCGAACGTTTTAATTTTGCTTCTGCTGGCTTTTTATGTTTTTTCAAAGTTCAAATTGCAAACAACGAGGTAGCAGTCTCTGAATATCGTTCCTCATTAATTCACTATAACTCGAGGTTAGAAATCGTCCGGCATATTCATTATCGGGTAGAATCAGTGATCGCTGCTGTAAATTGTTGCCACACCCGGTCGATTCGAATCAGCTCTGAAGAGTTTAAATTTTGCGAAAACGTAAGAAGCCAGATGTTCACCTAGGTAACGAACGTATCCTTGAACAAAGACAATGTCTGGGCATAAATTCATCTGCATTAGCGACCTGTCAGTTTTTAGCCAGGCTTCTCCCGTGGTCCTGATTTTGGGCTCGTCGATCTGATTTGTGTTAGTTTCGTTTTTACCGTAAATGAATGGAGTACAAACTACATGAATTGCGTGTGTGAATGAAGTACAGCCTAAAACATCGATGGAGTACTAAAAAACTTATCTGCACATGAATTCCTTTTAAACAAAGGTTGCATATGTAGCATGTATATCCACATATCGGGATTCTTAAACATAAATGATACTTTTATGATCTTTGTTGATGATACTTTTAGCCAAAAACAGTAAGAGCTTAATTGCAGATCGAAAAGTCGCTTCAAACGACAATGTACACAAATATTGACCTTATCACGATGACTAAAAACTTAACTTTTCTAAAATGTAAAAATAGCCGGTCTTTATAGCAAAGCTGCCCAGAACACGTGAAAGGTGCGGCATGATTTGTCCAATGAAGAACATTGCATACAAGCAACTAATACGCTGGCTGGAATCGCCGAATCTCGGATCACTCACTTGAGGTAGGTGAACATCACTCAACACATTGTTTTTTTTAAGAAAGCCCTGCCGACGAGGCCAGAACGAAGACGAGTGCCTTGAAGTTTCACTGTTTTCAGAAGCATGATCCTGCCTTTCAGCGTTAATGAAAGAATAAAAATTTGTCAAAATCAGTTGCGAATGATCAACATCGACAATAAAAATAGTCTGGACATGTGTAAACGAAACTGCGATGCAAATTTACTGTACAGCAGTAACATAGGGCAAAGAAAGGACTAGGTTTTTAAAATTCAAATGATCTGTTTTGCTCGTGTTCCGGAATCAGCGGCTAGAATTCATAACTGAACTGTAAACAGGTTTAAGTTGCCGAAAGTTCATGGCTTGGTGAACAAAATGAAGCAACAGGGATAGTGAAGTGAACGGCGTACTCCTCAGTTAGTATAAAATGATCGAAGTCCTTGATCGAATTTCGAACCAATCAGTTACAATTTTTTGTCAATAAAAATTTTTTGGCGTTTCTCAATTACCAACAAACTAATAGAGAAGCTTTGCTTAATGCAATGTTTGACTGACGGGAAGAATAATTTCCGTCAAACTCTAGGGAATTTAAGGAATGGTTCGAAAATAGTGCGCGAATCAATTTAGCCTAAAATGGAATGTATTTTCTGATTCTGAGTTTTACGTAAAATCTTAGCGTTGTCGTCATCGTTTGACACTGAAATCCAACGAACTCTTGGAAAGTGTTGCAGCTAAAGTCGATGTATTGACACGATGAATAACACAATGACGATCGTTTTTGCGGCATATTTAAAATGGCTAAAGAAAATTCAATTCGTGGTCACAGCTCAAGAGAAAAACTCATCTATTTTTCTAAAGTTTCACGTAGTACATAAAAGGAAATACAACAAAGGAATCCACATAAAATTTGTACACAGAATAAGAACCAACTAAAACTGAATGTGGTCAGTACACTGTCTTCGAACGAATTCACGCCGGTCTTTCACCATCGAGGTCGCTCGACACATGTAATTTATCGTTGGATCGTCGATAAGAAGATGCTCGTTACATGTAGGGAGCAGTTTCTACTTATCATAAGGGTGTAGATGGAAATGTGCAATAACTTTCAGA